TTTTTTTTTTTTTTGTATTAGCTAGTCTTGTACATGTGTCATGTGCGCATTGGACTTCTGATCACCCTTAGGCGTCGTGTACTTCTAAAGATGCGTTTTGTTTTATTTTTTTATTTTTTTATTATTATTATTTTTTTTTGTATTAGCTAGTCTTGTACATGTGTCATGTGCGCATTGGACTTCTGATCACACATAATTTATGAGCTTTTTTTTTTTTGTGTGTGTGTGTGTTACAACATAATGTGTGAGAGCTTTGGGTTATCTTCATCCTAGTGAAAAACTAAGATTGAGCGCGCGATTTCATAACATTTTAATGGCGAAAATATGTTCCAATAATGTTTTCTTCTACTCTTGCTAAGTTATACACGGTATCAAGAATAGTTACTTTCGCAATACAGACCCTTTATCTCTCCATGGATTGGATCATCTTGGAATGGTCCTTGTCACAAACTCGTTTACTAGTTCAAATTATCTTCTGGAGTAGAGCTATGAGGTTGGCATTAGGAGCGAGGTCCAAACTCGGTTTCATCTATGGCTCTGTTGCTAGTCCTGAAGAAAACACCAAAGATTATGATCAATATCAAAAGGTAGAGTTTTTGGTAATTTCTTGGTTGCTTAAATCACAACCATCATATCAGATAATCTAATGGCAAAAAAAAAATAAAAATCAAATTCTATACTCATAAAGGGTATTATGGACAATTACTCACACATCAACCACCCACTACATCAGTGGGCCTCACACCAATTAAATATCCCACAAAATCTTATTTAACGTCCCTCTCAATCTCTCTTATACACAGTACACACACACACATCTCTCTCTTACACGCATTACACACACAGTTCACGCCGGACCTCCAGCGTTGCCGCCGTTGTGTTCCTCAACCGCCGCCGCCCAGTCTCGTGGTCGCCTTCCCTCGGCCACGGCGAATATCGACGCCATTGAGATTCATTACACACACAATTTACACCCACTTACACACAGTGACCGCGCGCGTCACGACGTGATAAATTATACTTATAAAATTTTCCTCGACTAACTACTACTAACTATATGTAATGTCGAGCAAGAGTCGATCCAACGAGGAGTGTGGCATAAACCGTGATTATTTTGTATTAATTAAATTAAAGTGAAAATGAGGGGCTTTGATTTAAAAAGACACTATTGGCGAAACTAAGAAAATAAACTAGAACTAGAAATGAATGATTTAGATGCAAAAGACGATAAAACCGATAATAAAAAAATAATCTAGCAAATATTATAATGAAATCGGTCTCAGGTCGATTCACAACCTCGATTAACTAGTCCAATTAACACACTTATCAAATCTCACTTGTCTTCTAAAACTACTGGTCCTAGATAGCAATAAGCTCTGCTATCCGAATTCTCCCTTAATTTTACTTAATGAAAATAGGCTATTCAATTAAATCTAACTAACGCACAACTCGTAATAAGTTCTGCTAATTGAATTCATTAAGTGCATTAAATTCTAGAAAAATAGACCGATCTAAACCATAAACACACAAGTTCGGTTCATGTAACTTATGTTGTGTTATCTCTAACAGTGCGCGAGTATTAGTTGTTACAAATGAATTAAGAACTACGACAATTACAGATCGAAGCTTCAAGTCTAGCAATTAACATGCAATCCTAACTTAGATGATCAAACTAAATTAAAACTCACACATTAAAACAAGTAAATAGAATAACACAAACAATTTTATACTACAAGGTAAAACGAGATAAATTGCATTAATCGAACATAGTCATTGAGGGTTCAACGTCCTTAAAACCGAAATAAATGTTTAACCACACACTAAATGATAAAAGCAAATATTAATATCCATAGTCTTCAATAAAAAAAATAAAATAAAAGACAACAAAAAAAATAATAAATAATTGACAAACTCCCTTTCAACCATTGTTCTAAAAATCGGCCTAGGCGGCCGCCTAAGCGGCGCCTAGGCGCTAGGCGGTGCCCGGGCGCCTCCGATTTGCACAAATCGGCAGAAAAAATCGGTCAGACGGCTAGGCGGCGCCTAGGCGGGCCTAGGCGGCCCTAGGCGCTCCTAGGCGCCCTTGGCGGGCGCGGCGGCCAGGCGGTTAGGCGGCGCCTTGGCGGGA